ACACTATCAAACACATTGAAAAAATACCAACAAAAAAAGGTTTGGAAGGACATACAAACCGCCGAATTTCGTCGTCAAGTCTATATGCGTCAGCGTTCATACGCTTCGGCGCCTGGCTCACGCATTGGTATAAAAATCGACGAAGAATTAGAGAACGAAGACGCTCAGGAGGCTGGCGCACGCACATCAACACTCTCCGAGCCGTACGATTACACGGTGCCGCCGCGTTCGGCCAGCGGCTTCTTTGTGAGTTTACGAATTTGCTGAAATTAGAACACAAAATTCAATAAATAAATAGTTTCGATGTGTCTCGCTGTGCTGCACCCACTCACTTACCGAAATGGACCCCCAAAAAAATGCTGTAATACTCGTACAACATTTGTAAAAAAAAAGTCACGACTTTTASAACCATCTGTCCTTTGTCAATGTGTAAATGCAATCAGTTTTCGCTTTAAATTCTTTTTGTGCTAAATTTTAATTTGACTCTCAGAGCGTTAGGCGTTAACCTGCGACCACAAAATATTTGCAGTTCTACGCAATACCGCTACGTGCCGTTAAGCTGCTGCTAATATAAGTGTTTCAAATATAAATCCCACAAATCACATATACACACATAAATATTTTACTAAGAGCACACATTTAATTCGTTAATCTGCAGCAAAAAAAAAAATACTTAGTCACTTAGTGAGCGCTTAAACACTTTAGTTTACTACACTTATGCTTTTATAGTTACTTAATTCTCTTATCACTAATACAAACACACATTTTTACAAATATTCACATTATATATATTTAATAAGCAGCTCCTAAAACCATTAATTTAATGTTGTCAGTAGTATTACAMTTAATTTACACACTGTACTGCATAAGGMTAAGCACAGAGTGAGACGCAGTTCGAAAGGAAATTCAAAGTATGAAAGWGTAAGTGCAGTTTTCTCAATGCTTGGTTAGCAACCAGTTAAGTACTGGTTAACGTACGCACTCCTTTTGGTAACGTTAACCAGAACTTAACTGGTTGACATACCCAAAACTCCTTCTTTCGCTAAGGTTAACCAGTWCYTAAGTGATAGATGGTTGTTAACCAGACATTAAAAAAACGGCTCTAAGTATCGCAATTGCATTCTCTTTMATTATTTTCTCTTAATAAATTATTAATTATTACTTCCACTCCACTGTGCTTAWCCTAAGCTACAAGCAATAAGAATTATAAAACGTCGAAAATCCCAGCATTAATTGCACATCCTAATCACAAGTAAACAACTCATATATTATGTATATGTATATCAGATGTCTAAATAAATATTTACACACGCACATAACCACATTTTATTCAACAACCTTCCTTGAAGTTAGTGTTGCTTTTTTAAAACCCGTTGTTCGTATTAAAAATTATAATTAAGTATTTTTGTTTCATATCTGCAACAGACCGACATTAAACGCAAGTCCGAATCAGAGCCATCGACTAGCAAGGAGGCAAAAGAGGCTACCGAAATGGAAGAAAAGAAAAAGAAGGGCGATGTTGTCGATTCCGAGGAGTCTGAAGATGGTAAGGCGATAAATTTGAAAATGAAATATCTTGTTATTTTATTTTTATTTTTTTGGTTTTTAAGAATATTTATTATTATTATATTTCGAGGTTGTTTTTCTAATATTTAATACATCATATATGCATTTTGAATTAATAAAATTCTTTTATTACTTTCTGCAGATTTGGAAGCAAATCCAATCGTTCGTCTACTCGAAGGTTTCCTGGTGTCTGTGACAATTGGCTTACATCGCTTGTCACGCAATTACCGTTATGTTAATAAGATAATGTCGAATGAAAAGCGTTTATTGAAGGTAAAATATTTGATAGATTTCATGATATAAAAGATAAGGTAATGCCATCTGTTACTATGGCATTTAGATACTTATTTAAATCAGATTTTAATAAGTGAAAAAAATTATAAATATTCACAAAACCCATTACTCGTGCTATTTTTTGACATATACATANTATTTAATAAGCAGCTCCTAAAACCATTAATTTAATGTTGTCAGTAGTATTACACTTAATTTACACACTGTACTGCATAAGGCTAAGCACAGAGTGAGGCGCAGTTCGAACCAAACTCAAAGTATAAATGATTATGTGCAGTTTTCTCAATGTCTGGTTAGCAACCAGTTAAGTACTGGTTAACGTACGCACACCTTTTGGTAACATTAACCAGAACTTAACTGGTTGACATACCCAAAACTCCTTCTTTCGCTAAGGTTAACCAGTACTTAAGTGATAGATGGTTGTTAACCAGACATTTAAAAAACGGCTCTAAGTATCGCAATTGCATTCTCTTTCATTATTTTCTCTTAATAAATTATTAATTATTACTTCCACTCCACTGTGCTTAACCTAAGCTACAAGCAATAAGAATTATAAAACGTCGAAAATCCCAGCATTAATTGCACATCCTAATCACAAGTAAACAACTCATATATTATGTATATGTATATCAGATGTCTAAATAAATATTTACACACGCACATAACCACATTTTATTCAACAACCTTCCTTGAAGTTAGTGTTGCTTTTTTAAAACCCGTTGTTCGTATTAAAAATTATAATTAAGTATTTTTGTTTCATATCTGCAACAGACCGACATTAAACGCAAGTCCGAATCAGAGCCATCGACTAGCAAGGAGGCAAAAGAGGCTACCGAAATGGAAGAAAAGAAAAAGAAGGGCGATGTTGTCGATTCCGAGGAGTCTGAAGATGGTAAGACGATAATTTTGAAAATTAAATRTYTTGTTATTTTATTTTTATTTTTTTGGTTTTTTTCTAATATTTAATACATCATATATGCATTTTSAATTAATAAAATTCTTTTATTACTTTCTGCAGATTTGGAAGCAAATCCAATCGTTCGTCTACTCGAAGGTTTCCTGGTGTCTGTGACAATTGGCTTACATCGCTTGTCACGCAATTACCGTTATGTTAATAAGATAATGTCGAATGAAAAGCGTTTATTGAAGGTAAAATATTTGATAGATTTCATGATATAAAAGATAAGGTAATGCCATCTGTTACTATGGCATTTAGATACTTATTTAAATCAGATTTTAATAAGTGAAAAAAATTATAAATATTCACAAAACCCATTACTCGTGCTATTTTTTGACATATACATATATATCATGTTATTTTTAACGAGCGTATAAATTTATTTAAATTTAAATGTTTTTTTTTTTTTTGTTTGATGTTTTCAGGAAACTCACAGCGTCAATTTGGTCTACGCAACCGACAGCTCCGTGTATGTGGACATCAAGGGTTTGTCGCCAAAGTATGTAAATCGGTATTTATTTTATTGTATTATAATATTTTGCTTGTTGTTTTTKCGAAGTGAGATTTTAATAGTTTGGTTTTCGTATACCTTTATGAGTGTTTAGTGTTTTTATAAGCGTTGGTTTGCATTGATCGAAGTTCTGTGCTTTAATTTAATTTTTTTTTTTTTTTTTTCATTTGATTGCTAACTTAAAGGGGTATTCCAGACTAGAGGTTTGAATTTCAAATAACTTTTGAGGTGTCGTAAAATCAATATTTTTCTGTCAATTCTATCAGTTATTTATTAACAATATAAGAATAAAAAAATTCCAAAAAATAGCAGCTATAATTGCGAATAACTTTGCAAAAAAAAATGTTTTCACGAAAACGTGTTTAAGGGGTTCATAGAGTATAAAACTGTTTCAACAATTTTTTTCATATTATAAAAAATCAAATATTTTACTACACTTTTTTTATGGTTACAAACGTACACTACTAACAAAGAAATTCTGTAATTTTTGGAAAAAAAA